CGTTATTTGGCGGTTTTTACTTGGAAAACCAGCTATATTGTTCTTGCATTCAAATAATGGAAAAATTTGAAACGATAGAAGAATGATTGGAGATGAATTTCATTTACAAATAAGGTAGGAAATGTGCATACCTTTAAATTGACACCTGCCACAGTGTTTCTTATTTGTCATCTGTGATCCCTTTTGAGTGTCCTAAAAGCCGATGGGGGGGGGGGGAAAAGTCACCCCTCGCCACTGAGAGAGATATATATATATATATAAACACAAACCTTTGTACAAGCACATTTTTCAACATGTCTATCAGGATTTAAATTATCAAACATTTTCAAAAGTTTGCTCTGCTACTTGGGTGTTCTTGTACTTGTGTGACATTTGTTTTCAGATGCCATTTGGTTTGAAATTGTATCTTCCAGTGGAATGAAAAATCATACATTTCAAGTATGACTTTGGGAGTCAAAACACTTTTTGAGCCACTTTATATTGAAAAGCTAAATTAAATAAAAAGTAAAATTTATTGAGGATGTCAAAGCAGAATAGCCCTCTTTAGATGCAAGTAAACAATTTTGCGAGAAATTGTGCAGTATATCAACATGATCTCATGAGTATTTTTACTTTACATACTGTAAAGTGTGGTTCTACCATTTGCACACACAATAAAACGTACAATACTGATGTATTAATAGCATCTAAATCAAATTATTTACATATGAAAAACTTTATATAGAAGCATGTCTATGAATACTTAATTATGAATACTGAATGTATGTAATTAATTGTTTGATTTTGCATTTATGATCAGATTATGTTTTCAATCTCATTAAATAAAGTTGGTTCATCAAAAAAAAAAACTTTAAAACCTTAAAATGATTATATGCATTTGATCAAAATATGTGCACCTTAAATATATTGGAATAAGATTTTCAACGAGAAACAGAGAAACACATTAGCCATGTGGACTGCTTTGGTGCTGCTTTTTTGATGTTTTAACAAAAACATATACAGTATTATGGTGCTTACACTTATCAGTCTGTTATACTTATGTTTAGGTTTGGGGTAGGTCAAGGGATCTAAAACATCTATGAAATTGTAAAAATGTAACTATAAAAATATAGTTATGATAAAATATTTGAAAATATGTCATACTTCTGTAGGTGTAAATATGTAACAGTGTTTACAGTTTAGATGTTGTCAGTATGCCCATATTGTATGTTTCAGTGTCTATTAAAATGCACAAATTTAGGATTTTGGTTAGTTTTTGTATATTTTGTTGTACCTAAAATGTTACATACTAATACCTAGTTCAGATGCAAAAGCTTTTAATTGCTGTCTGAAATTTTCTTCTAATTTTTCTCAGGTTCCTATGTTTATGTTCAGTTATTTCGCTTTAATGGCAATGACAAGAACCTATTCATTGCAATTAATGTGAAATTACATTTTAGAAGAAAATTTAAAACGGCACAGAGGCTTTTGCATCTGAACTCTTCATATATATATATATATATAATTTCAGATCTCCTGAATGAATAGTTTGCATGCATCTAAATGTAGCTCTTCTGATCATTTTGATTATAGGGTAAAAGTGAACATGGGTACCTGTCAGTGTTTCCTCTGACCTGTTCATGTGATAGCAAGGGAAAAAAAAAAAATGGCTCACATCACATGATGTATTTGAACCTCAGATACTTATGACTGTGATTTCAAATGTCTTTTTTTTTTTTTGGAAGGATGCTA